ACACATATAGTTTTTCTCCAGCATGTATTCTCTCATGTCTGATGAGGTCAAATTTATGACCGAAGTCTTGTCCACACTGATTACATTTAAAAGAGGTTACAACATTGGATGAGCAATGGTAAAATGGTTTCCCATACTTATTACATTCATAATTTTTCTCTCTTACACAGTCTTTCTCATAACTAAGTAAGTCTAAATTATGCTCCAAACCCTTATCAAGTAAGTCACATTCATAGCTTTGTTTTGAAGTAATGATGTCTGAGCTCAGAGGAAATATTTTTGTAACTTTTTTACATTCCATGACATTTTCCTTAATCAGAGTTTTATTGGAGATGGATGTGACTTTCCTCACAAGTGTTTCCTGTTGCTTCTTGATCTGTTCATCAACTTCCCAAACTTCTAAAGTAGAGGACCAAAAATTATTACTTCTGAATTTTTCTGCTATAACACTATTAATAACATTTCAGAAATCTGCATGTGGGGCTGATCTTTGATGTTGGCTCTCGTCTCCCAATATGAAATAAATCCAAAGTGCAAATGACCCTAGTTCCCAAGGTATGAGAGGTTAACTTCCATAGGAAATATTATGGAGAAAAACTGACATTTATAGGCCAAAGTAGATTTGACTGATTTTAAATGTATACTTAAACAATGTAGAAATCAGTAAGATGTATAGAATTATTAAGATAAAAGGATAAAGACATAAATGATGGACAGGGAATCAATGACTAGAGGATAAAATTAACACTTGGAGTTAAATACAGTAAATTAAATGTATATGTTTTCCCCCTTCCTCCATAATATTCCATTAAAATGAAAGCAGTAAAATAAAGAGTCACACTTATAAGAACAAAGGAAATAAGAGTGTTAGGAAGAATGAACAGGAGGTATCAATAAAATACTGGAAGACGCAAGGCATATAGGGAACTGTTAACTGTGATAGCAGAGTTAAGAAATTAAAGTATTATGAAGACACAAATGTCAAGTGACAAAGTAACATGGCTACAAAACACTGGAAAAGCTAAAAAATTAGAGACTTCAGATACTCAAAAGGTAGGGAGATTGGAGCTGAAAAAGAAGAGGATGAATTTAAAGTCTGAATAGGGAGCAGTTTCTACTCCCTGTGGCAGGTTATTAGGGATTTTTTTAGGTAACATCTACTTCAACCTCCCACTGTTTTTCCATCCCACAAAGGCTGAGAGAGTTAAAACTATATTTACTAGACACACTTTCATGAAGAATTCTGGATGTGATTTAGGATCGCCATACAACATTTTAATTCAGAAATAAATTAAGAGAAAGAGAAGTGGGCATTTTGCTTATGACATTACAACAGGAGTGGCAGGGTTCTGGAGCTCACGGCTGTAGAGGCATTTTCCTGGTTCAACCACAAGCAATTTCTTGATCCTAGTGGGAAAAGGAACTCACGTAGCAGCTCACTTCTGTGGTATGCTTTTGAGACTCATTCCTAAAAGCTTATCCTAGAGTCAGATCTTTCGGTCCTCCCAAAGATTCTGTAGTACATTTAATACCTTCCTATAAATCCCTTCCTTCTTAAATTAGCAGTTAGTATATTCTTATATCTGTAACTGAACCTTGACCAATATACCACTATACCTCAATCCACACAGGATGTGGCCATGTAGCCACCACCCAATCAGGAAAAGGAGACTTACTTTCTACAGAAAATAGACCATAGAGGCTCTAGAATCTAGAGGAAAGGCCTCATACTAAAAAAAGACCTAGGAATTACGTGAACATTTCTATATTGAATAGTAAGACATCCAATCCCTTTCTGTTGCTTAGCCTTGTGAATGCTGGCCTGTACCTCCAGGTAGGAGGTAGAAAGATTAAAAACGAAAGACCCATTGAACTGGCATTGGGACTTCACAAAAACCTCTTACGTTCTACTTCAACCATTCTACAGTACATCTCCTGCATCAAAATGAGGTAAACTGATGACACTGATGGATTCCTTATTTTAAACAAAGATTTGAGTTTCAGTAAAATTAAAAATACATAGAAACAAAGCAAACAAAAATTGGGCAAGTGGTAACTCTAGGAAGAGCAAAAAGATGTATAAGGAAATGTAATTAATAGTCATTGCTTGGTTCAGTAGTAATGATAAATCAACAATCAGAACAAAGCAAGTAGTGAAAAAACTGAGCCAAAAACTGGTATATCCATACTCAGAGGAAAAAGAAAGAAGTTGCAGTGGTGGTAAAGAGTACTAAACCTCATTTTTCTTTAGTATCAAGTTGATAAAAATTAGAAAATTACCAAACAGATTATTCAGAGAAGTTGAGCCCCCACCTGGTCCCTGAAACACTGATTACTCCATTGTCCTACAGATAAGTATTTTTATTAATTTTGGTTTATTATATATTAAGAAAAAACATATGCATATATACATACCCCTTGCACCAGGTAAGTATTTTTATTAATTTTTGGTTTATTCTTATATATTAAGAAAAAACATATATGCATATATACATACCCCTTGCACCCCCCCTTTTTTTTTTTTTTACAAAATAGGTAGCATATTCTAAATGCTGCTTTGCATATTGATTTTTTTCTTACAAAATCCTGAAGGGAAGCATGACATCTGACTTATTTTATAGTTTTGACATTAGAATCATGTAAATTTTTATATAATGAAAAAAATATAAAAATTAAATCAAAAAGGGAGAGGGGGAAAAAAAAGCCAAAACAATCCCTAAAAATAGAAAATGAAATAGAAACAAGTGAACCTACATACCAAGGTATGGCCATAATCACATGGAGAATGACTTCAAGTGACTTTAAACATAATATTTGACTATATCCTAAGGGAAAAAAAAGACACATGCAGAGAAATCTTAAACTACATTCAGTAGTCTTTTCATCATTGGTAATATTGGCATTACTGTTATTTGGGACTTATATATAAAGAAACAGAGAGGGAGAGAGAGAGGAAGGGAGAGAGAGAGGAAGGGATCTGTTTGTTTTGCTAGATAGACAGATATCCATTTTGCCGCCCCCTGCCCAAGGGATATTTGGCAATGTCTGGAAGGCCTGGAAACATTTTCAGTTGTCACAACTTGGGGGAGGGGGACAAAGGAGGATGGTACTACTAGCATCTATTGAGTAGAGGCCAGGGATGCTGCTAAAAATCCTACAATGTACAGGACAGTCCCCCACGGCAAAGAATTATCTGGCCCCAAATGTCCATAGTGCCAAGGTTGAGGAATACATATGATTAAGCAAATAAATATGTTAATGCAATAAGGAACCAAGATTTTCAGTATAAAAGAGACACAAATACAAAGCAAAAAAGTAACAACTCCACACTCTTTACTTTCAATTAGATGTGTCAGTGTAAAGACATACACTTCTTTCTTTCTAAACAATGCATTTTCCTACTTCTGTCTACATAAAAGCTCTAAAAGCCATGATAACCCAGTAATAATGAGTAACCATAGTACCAGATATCATTTCCCACTAAAGGAAGCTAGGCTTTTTACAGAAATGACTATTTCCATGTTTGGAGCAAGAAATTTACAAAATTAGCCAAAGAGTCCTCTGGCTAAAGATAAGACAATTTGAGCATTAAAATAAATATATATATTAACAAAGTATATTTATTCATATATATTTCACGTGTTATTTACATGCACTAAATAATATTTATTTTGATGGCCAAATGATATAAATTTATAATGGCTTCATTTGCAAAATGGAGATTGCCAGGGTACCAATCACTATTCTAAGTTTCTGAAGGAAAGGAATCAAGTACTTCTATTTCCTGGCCTGTAAAAACTGTATTTCAGGGTAATCAAATAGTTGATGAAATAGTTCTTTATGGGAGAATTTCAGCTAATAAAAGCAGAAGGAACATCTAATAAAATAACAGATGATCCTAAGCAAGGGTCATCAATGGCTGCTAAAGCACTTACATAAAAGGTTGATAAAGATCTTTAAAATAGAAGGATTCTGATTCAAAACATTATTCTACTGATCAATCTCAGTATTTCTAAAAGTGGGACAAACCAACAAGATACAGTAAGAAGTACACAACACCGTCTACAAAATATTCTTGTCAAAGACTCATACTTAAATATAATAAAGCCAGATTATAGGGAAAATAGGATAAAGGAATATGTTAAACCACACCACGAGGAAGCAAATTGGCATATTCAGGATGTGGGACATTCTAGAACAGGACTTGGCAAACAATAGCCAAAGCCTGTTTTTGTACAGCCTGTGAACTAAGAAAGGTTTTTTTTCTGTTTGTTTTTTACATTTTAAAAGGGTTATTAGAGAAAAAGAGGGAGAAAGATAAAGAATATGTGACAGAGACCTATTTATTATGCTGACCCTTGTTCTAGAAGACAAAAGACCTGGATTCTACACAAAGAAAATGGTAGGGGAAATGGATTTGGGGGAGAGGAAGAAGAGGAACTCTTATTCCTCTTAAAACAGACCTAAGAGATATATCGAACAAATGTAATGTGTTGATCTTTATTTGGATCCTGATTCAGATAAACCAACCACAGAAAGACATTCTTGAAATGTTAGAATATGACCCAGTGAAGAGAATTACCATTTGGATCCTGATTCAGATAAACCAACCACAGAAAGACATTCTTGAAATGTTAGAATATGACCCAGTGAAGAGAATTACCATAGATAAAGCATGGCAACATCCTTCCTCTGACTTATTAAAAATGAAATGAAATGGAAATCAGTGGTCTTACTACATATTTTTCTAGAAGAAATTACTTCAGATGGTGTGAGTCAACTCTAAACATTCTAATATTTTTGAAAACATTAATTTTATACAGTTAAAGACATTCTTAAGCTAACTGAGGAAATATGAACAGAGACTAAGTATCAGATGACAGTAAGAAGTTATTATTGTTATTAGGTGTGATAGTAATATTGTGGTTTACAGTGATTTAAAAAATTTTTAGTTTTTGGTGACACATACAAAAGTATTTAAAGGTGATGTGTAAAATAGTTCAGCAAACAAAACAAAAAAAACAAAACTGAAGGGGGACAGATGAAACAAGTTTGGCAAAATGTTGATAACTAATCTAAGTGATGAATACATGAGGATTTCTTATACTATTCTACTTTTATGAGTGTTTAAAAATGGCTATAATAAAAAAATTTAAAGTATAAACACATTTATTTAGAAACATGGAGGTTAATACCCTAAGAAATGGCTAAGTTGAAAATAATTGCCTAAATGAGGTGAAATGTGAGGGCAGAACAAGGGACTTCCACACGCCTTGTATTTTACGGTTTTTTAAAACAAGTAATGTATTAGTTGAGAACAATAAAAAATGCACATTAAAAAAAGAAATGGTATAAAAGCGAAATACTAACAGTAGCATTAGGTTTAGAGAAGCAAATTATAACCCAATTTCTTATTACTTTTGCCTAGATTAACTGCCATGTGATCCTGAGAAGTCCATCTCATCCACGCTGCAGACCACAAGCAAAGGAATTGTCATAAAGTTCTAATGCCCTTATTTCTGAACAAAAACACTTGATGCTTAGGCTTTCTAAGCTTAATCCAACCCCAAATTGGTGATAACTATGGAGACAGCTCCAACTTTCCATCTAATTGCAATTCATTCTCATATGTAAAGAAGGCATGTAAGTACCCAATGAAAAGATCAGAAAGCAAGTCATCTTTGTTCAAGATCTGACTCAATGCAGTGTTCTAACAGCAGGCTATCATTTTATTGTGTTCATTTCTAGACACTGAAACTGTCCTTACCAGCAAACCCTGTTGTGTTTTGCTTTTGTTCTTTCTTTGTGACTGACATACTGTCACCCGAAATGATAGCATTCTTTACATTATTACCTCTACATTGCTTTTTTCATACTTCTGGAGTTCCATCAACTGTGAGTAACTTAAAATTAGATAACTGGACACATTTTAACCTTTTTTCAGTTACCTTATTAAGGCCCTGCTTATAACTACTGTAACCTTGTTGCCTAGGCACAAGGCAAAACTATAGCTTCAGTGATTAAAAAAGAGAAAAATTAAACTAAATCGCTCACAAAACTTAAAACATATAAAAGAAGGCATGAGGGCTGGCCAAGTCCAGAACTCTCTCTGACTCCACACTAGGTGACAGCCCAGCCTCCATTCACTAACCCCACAGTCCACCTTCCTCCAACCAGACGATGCTTCTAATTTTACCTTGTAAATATGTCATGCTAGTTTTACTCTCCAAACCTGTTATAGTTTTCTCATTTGTAGTAAGTCCTAATCATCTACATAACTTATAAGTAAACAGATTTAATTCTAAGCTCTCAAAAAAAAAAAAACTAGAAAACCTTCTCAATCTTGTCTCTCCTTTTACAGACAGCCCTTCTCTTACAACCTTAAGATATTTTCTATCTGATTCACTCATTTACTAAATTTTATGTAGCTCCGCCCTGTCTTTTTACTCTAACCTGAATTCTGCCTTTGCATTGAGGGTTTGCGAGTAAATATTTCAAACAAAAAAAGAAAAAAAGAGAAAAATATCTTCAAATATAGCTTTCCATCAATCAATTCCTAAATCATTACATGAAGAATGAGACAGACTTTCTTTCTCTCAGTGGGTTAATAAGTTAAAGCTCAGACCATCAAAGCGTAAAACATAAGACAGTATGTTTCAGACTCCAAATCACCCTGCTAGACAAAAAGTAGAAAGTTAGCTCAGAGATGGGGGGGGAGATGGGTAATGGCTGGAAGTGTCGGGGACCATTTATTGAAAACTGAGCTCCAAGCTAAATAACTGCTAGAAACAGGATAGCTAAGAGCACTTATAATTAATTACAGGCGAAGATGTGAAGAGTTTCACAATGCTGGAGACATTAAAGATACGCAGCTCAAAGTTGTCACTTCTAGAGTTAAATACTGACTTAAAAGTTAAGCACACCTGTATCGTGATGGCACATAAAGGAAAAATGAGTCTATCTGTAACTCAGAACTATTCAGGATAATGTCCAGTGAAGGATGGAGAAAAGACGTCCTGTAAAATACACTTCATAAAGGAAAAATGAATAAACAATAAGCAGGAACTGAGGAGAAATCAGAATATTTCAGAAGGGAGCAAAAAAGAAAGACATATCCAAGAAGGGTGATCCAGGATCAAATATAAGATAGAGAGCTTCCTGTTTCGATATGGCAGAATTAAACATTTGTTTCCTCTCCTCTCTGAAAACATGAAGAAGAAAAAGAAAATACCTTTGCAGTGAAACTAAAAGGCAGCTAAACTCCAATTCCAAACTATAAAAAAAGACCAAAGGATAGACTGCATCAAGCAGGAAAGAAATGCAGAGAAAGTGGCTGTTCTTTCTTATCTCAGACATCTTATCACAGGGACATCTTATCACAGAGAACAGATTTCTCCAAAACAGAAGGCATACCCTGTGAGCAGAATAAAGGGGTCATTTTTTGCAACAATGGGATCCAGATGTGGTAAGACTAACGGTAGGAGAATAATGGTCTTTATCTGGTC